TGGTCTCGATCTCTTGACCTCGTGATCCACCCGTCTCGGCCTCCCACAGTGCTGGGATTACAGGCTTGAGCCACCGCGCCCGGCCGGCTCTGTCTCAAAAAACAAACAAACAAACACCTATCAAGCTATCCCAGCTCACCAAAACAGTGAGATTCATCAAAGCAGCCCATTTTTCCAACAAAACCTCAACATGCCTTCTCCTTGAAGAAGCTACTAACTAAAGCATGAGATTAATACCCAGGTTACCATGAGACAGGATTTCTTGGAAAGCACAGAAAGAAATCTTGTATCACACTGGCTAAAGATCAAAAGCTCCACCAGTGCGGTGGCTCACAACTGTAATCCTTGCACTCTGGGAGGCCAAGGCAGGTGGATCCCTGAGGTTAGGCGTTCAAGACCATCCTGGCCAACATGGTGAAATCGCATCTCTGCTAAAAATACAAAAATCAGCTGGGCATGGTAATAGGCGCCTGTAATCCCAGCTACTCGGGAAGCTGAGGCAGAATCACTTGAACTAGGGAAGTAGAGGCTGTAGTGAGCCGAGATTGTGCCACTGCACTCCAGCCTGGGCAACAGAGCGAAACTCCATCTCAAAAAAAAATCAAAAGCTCATATATTCACACATCTCAAGCCCAAAAAATGTGATCTTAGATCAATGAAGCTTTTAAATAAAATTCTGTAATTATACTTTACATGCTGTATTAAAATCAAACATTTTACACATTGCACTAAAATCATCCTATGAGAGCAGAGGGATGGACTAGAGGGTACATAAGGATGCACAGGAAACTATAACATTGCTTAACTTCACACTTGCCTGTTAATGGGGGCCTATTCCAATATTATGCTCCCATGCCAAAAATAAAAAGTAAGAAGGAAGAATGAGAAGAGCAAGAAAGCAGTCTGGGGACAACCGGTAAGACTCTGGAGACTTCACATAGGCCAATTTTTCAATACTCTACCATATAAATACCCTCAAAGTCCAATGTAACAAAACTATGCAATGCCTTATAATTAACAGTTTCTTTCTGAACGACTGACAAGTTTTAAGAAAATATGGCAGAGAATTTATACACACATCCTGTTAGTTTCCTTGTAACAAGAACCATGAGAAACCTCTCCTATTAGAAAGGAAGAAGAAACATATATTCCCATATAGAACATTTTCAAATGTACTATACTAAATGACTACTGGAATAACTGGTAGGATCTAAAAGTTCATTGAAATTAAGACCCAAATCTTCTCCCCTGCAATCTATCAGAAGGGTCTACTCAAATTGCTCTTAATCATTTAAAAAATGTGTTTAATTTAGAATATGAATAGTGTTCATTATCATCATTTTACTCACCTTACTAACACCTACTCCAGTAAACCTGGCCTCCAATAATTCCTGCCGTCGTGGGTCCAGGCTATGCAATTCTTCCATCATTTCTACTGAAAAAGAAAAAGTAGGCTGTGAAACCATAAATAGTAAAATGTGAGGAGGCAATGTTTAGTAAAACAAAACTCACAGTAATTATTTCACTGAATGATCACTTACAGGTGAATCCCAAATAAATATAGCATATAAGTGGTACGCTACTATGTGCTGCATTAAACAGTAATACATTTAAAAGCCCTAAAGCAGCTCATAAGTCCTCTTCTATGACGGTCACTTATTTTCCCTACTTCTGATTTGATTTTGACAGCAAAAATAAACCCCTCAAACTCTTCGTATAATCTCTGTAAAAGTTGACCACAGGGGGAAAAAAACAAAACAAGAACTAGCCTGCAAAAAGAAAATTCCTTCTATCGGCCTTTGACTCTAGCTAAGTACCTTCAGATATTTATTTCCCACTCAGGAACTAGTCCTTAAACTAAAAATATGAATAATGGACAATAATTTCAAAAGAATATAGCATGAATCAGAAGCTACGAATAACTGCAAAAACACTATTATACAGCTTCTTTCTCTGAAGAGCTCACAGTAGATCATGAAAAAAGGAATTATTTTAAATTTAATAGAAACCCCATGGTAAAACCATCCACCTCCATTCACTCAGGAAATTAATATAGCTCCATAACAGTCCCTTTAAAAAGTCTTTTTCTGACCACTCCCTGGAACACTAGGTTTCTCCTGATTCTGGACATCTGCTTTTAGCACTTCTTCCAAGCAGGGAGGGGCAGGAGGACACCATTTTTAAACTTCCACGACCAATTAATGCACAGGCTACTTTCAGCAAACATGTCCATCCTTTGCAAGAGACCAACTCCTGCACGACCCATTGAAAACCTCTCTTTAATATTAACAGTGGAAAAGAAGCATATATCATTACATAGAACCCCTCCGAACACATTATTAAGCAGCTGGAATGGTTGGTGTGATTTTAAAGTCACTGAAAACATTAATCGAACATTCTCCTCTGCAATCCAACAACTCCACAATCTCCAGTAATAACCCCCTTACAAGTCCTTCAGTTTCATTTCCCTTCCTGGATTGAGAGCCTAGGGCAAAGGGGAATGAAAAGGGTGACAAATTAAAGTTTCACCCACACATGCAAGTGCAGGTTAGAGAGGAATTAGGAAATTCTGAGAAAGGTTGAAATGCATCTCTACAAAAAGAAAAAGAAGGGGGAAAAAAAGAGACTGGGAGAGTGAGTTTCCACTGAGTGGCCTTCCTCGCATCTCGCCCTGCCCTAATCGAGGTCGGAACGGCAGAGGTTGCAGTTTCTTCCAAACCCCAAGGTCTCTCGCAACATTTCCCAAACCTCCATCCCCAGGCCTGGCCCGGAAAATGACGCCCGGGCGGCTATTCCGTTTAACGTCAACTCATGTTAAGGAAATAGCCACTCCGTCTAATTCCAACGGGGCCTTTGACTGGGATCCTCCCTGCAGCCCACAGCCGGGAAGCAGGAACGATGGGGCCTGGTCCCGGCGCCCCTCGCCGGCTCCAAACTTTCCCCAACTCCAGGCCCACCTGTCACGGAGGAAGGGAGGGCCGGCTCTCGGGGGCTCTCGGGAGGCTGCCAGGGCCTCCAGCTGCCAGGTCGCCCCCGTCTCTCCTCCGGCCGCCGGCCCCAATATCAGGCCGGGGCCGCCTGGGCCTCCCTCATCTTCGGCCCGGCCCCTCGGCGACCCGCAGCCCTCGGGGAGGACCTCCCGCCTTAGCGCCCAGGAGCTGCGGTCCAGAGCCGGCCCAGAGCTGGGCCCAGATCGCAGGCTCCTCAGGCCAAAGGGGTCCCCGGGACGGTTAATGCCCCAGGCCCGGCGCTCTCCCCGGCCCCGGGCTCAGCCTCTCACCTGCCGCCGCCGCCGCTCCACGCTCCTCCCGGGAGGGGCCCCGACCCGACCCGGCTGCGGTACGGTCTGCTCTTCCCCTGGGCAGGCCCGGGGCGGAGCCGGGGCCTCTCCTGAGCGCCGCAACCCCCCGCCCGGGCAGCCGCCGCCGGCGCCGGGCTCCACGAGAGGGCGGGCGGGGGAGGGGGGCCGCGAAGGCCGCAGATCCCCGGGCTCGCGTACAGAGCCAGGCGCCCGACGCGGGCCCGGGCCCGGGCGGCCGCGGGGGGCGCGGGACCGGCCTCCTGGCGCCGGACAAAGGCCAAGGGAGGCGCAGGACGGCCCAGGCCGGGCCGGGAGGTGGGGGCCCGCTCGGCTAGGGGCCACTCGGGTGCCGCGCGGAGGGCGGGGGGGGTCGGAACCGCTGGTGCCCGGGACCCGCCTCCGGCCCCTTAATCCGGATCGGTTCGGTCCGGATTAGTAGTGATCGGTGTAAACACACTAGTGAAACCGCGTGTTTCCTCGCGAGATTTGCACGGCTGGGAGGCAGGGGGGGTCCTGGGGGGGTGGGGGAAGCGCCGACAGTGGGGGAGGAGGGGGAGGGGAGGAGGAAGGTGGGGGGGGTCCCCGCTGCCCCGGCGCCCCGCCTCCTCCAATCAGCGGCCGCGCTGCCGGGCAGGGGTTAACCAGGGGACCCCGCGCCGGCGGAGAAGGCCGCGCCTCGCCGGGCGGCTGAGGGCGGTCGACGGGCGGCGCCGGCTGACGGGCCGCGACGCGAGGGAGGTCGGGCGGACCCGGGCGTCTTGCAACGGCCGGAGGCCGGAGGCCCGAAGGCCCCGCCGCCGCCTTTGTATCACTGGCCCCCGCCCCGGGGCTGTTGGGCCGGCGCTGGAGGGGCTTGGCCGTCCCGGCCCACCAGTTCCGGAATCCCGCTCGCCGGCGCCCGTGCCCGCCCAACCCCTCGGCTCCACGAGTTTGGGTGAGAAGTGCGGCGGCTCTGCCCGGGGATGGAGTTTAGAGGACGCTAAGCCTATGTGCGAGCGGCGGACCCCGTCGGGACTTCCCGGAGGCTCCCGGTTAGTGAGGCGGCGGCTCCCACCCGCGTTCGCGGGCTCCCGGCCGCCACTCCCTGGAGCCGCCGGCCCGCCCCAGCCCCGTGCGGCGCCCGGGAGGGCGGGCTGCACTTCCTCCACGTACCTGGCTGGCAGACGGTCTCCAGGGACTAAAGGGTGTCCTGGGATCAAAGCCGAGCCCCCGCCCCCGCCGGGATGTTGCCCTCCGGAAGGAGGGGCGCTGCCCCCAAGGGACTCTCCCCAGGCACCCTGGGGGAGGTTCCATTTCAACCTCGGAGGAAAAACATGGTCCTCCCGGGTACTTAGGAGGGTCTGAAGGTAAGGGCCAGGATGGAGAAAACACGCCGGCCCTTCACAGAATATCTCCTGAGGAATGAGAAATACCTAGTGGGCAAGGAGGGCTTCCACTCTGATCATCCAGCGTCAAGGAAAAAAAAAAAATCTCACTCCTCTTCACCGGCTCCCCTGAGCCAGGACAGGCTCCAGTGCAGCCACCCACCTTTTAATTTTCCGCGGATGCTGCCTTGATCAGATGCCTGAAGATGACTTTAAGGACTGCAAGTGAATCTCAAGGGAAAAATTCAGACCTTGAACAACAGCCTTGAACTTTTTCAGGGTTAAGCAAGTACTCCCAAGTGGAGTTTCTGCCCTTATTTCTTCGTTATTACTTCTGTTAATTCTTCCACATATTAACAGAACACAGACATGCCGAAACGGCACAGGATGGCGGCGTGCTTTTTGTTAGTTCTCCAACCTTCTAAATCCTTCGGGCACATTCAAGCACTGTGGAAAAACTCCATTAAACCAAGAGTCATCTTCCTCCGGATCCCAGACTGCTTGGGAAGTTGGACATGCATATTCCCAAAGAGAACAGTGTTGGAAGGAGAGAGGAGAGCAGCTCGGGGGTGGGGGCGGTGGGTAGGGAAAGAGGGCAAGATGGAGGACTACCATGCGAGGTTCTCTTAGGAGAACCTAAGAGCTGGTCCAACCTAACACAAAAGAAAAGCCAGTGATCAAGGCGGTAACTCCGTCAAATGACAGCCTTTTTAAAAAGTTATTATTTTTTTCTGAGAGGGAGTTTCGCTTTGTTGCCCAGGTTGGAATGCAGTGGCGCCATTTCTGCTCACTGCAACCTCCGCCTCCCGGGTTCAAGCAGTTCTCCCTGCCTCAGCCTCCCGAGTAGCTGGGATTA